CTTCGGTTATGCCTGCTAATTCACTGTCATCGCTCATAAAGACTGAGGTTAACGGCTTTGTGCACGGCTCTCCTCAGGACAGCAAAGAAGCACCCTCTGGTCTAGTTGCTTCGGGGCCACTGTCCTCCTCTGCCACGTCCCCTGTCCTGCTCCCTGCTCTCCCCAGAAGAACCCCCAAACAGCACTACTGCAACACGTGTGGGAAAACATTTTCTTCCTCCAGTGCTCTGCAGATCCACGAAAGGACACACACTGGTGAGAAACCTTTTGCCTGCACTATATGTGGAAGAGCATTCACAACAAAAGGCAATCTGAAGGTACTTCTTCCTCTTGCTGTTCTTAGGTTTCATTTTCTCCTTGCTGGGGGTTTTTATTTTTTTACACCTGTTAGTGCTGCAGGCAGTGGTACCTTTGAGTGTCTGCAGTGTGACAAATGGTGTGTTTAGTCAGCTCTGGTAGACGTAGATGTCCTCTTGTTGAGTGCTTGTGTTGGCAGCTGATCTGAAGTGTGAGCTGTTTTTGATGCTTAATTAAAATTCATCTACCAGCAAAGACTACGTAGAGTGTGAAATGGAACAGCCAAATGATGGTAAGGAGTATTAACGGAGAAACGCATTTTGTAACTCACCTCTTTAAAAAGTGGAAGGTTCTTGAATGTGCTGTTTTTCATAACTATCATGTAAGATGATGAGTGTTTAAAAAAACTATTAACATAATTCTGGAACTAATGGGCATTACTTTAATTGATTATATAACTAACATTTCCTGCTGATATGTGTTTGAAAAAGCAAATATACTTAAGTTTTAGAACACCAGTTGAGCACTTTACTGTGTACATTTTTCTGTTGACAGAGTATTTCTCTAGAGGTTGCTGCCAGTAATGCGAGATGAATAATTACTTTCAGGCCATTCTGTCTACACACAAGGCTCTCCGATGAGCAATCAGTAAAGGATACTTTCTGCCTGTCTGAAAAGGACATTTATAGGGTAAAGGGTGTCAAATACAATACTTACCATTGCAATGAAAGTGGACATAGCAATTCTAGCCCTGAAAGCAGCTATCTGCAATTGACAGAATAACGTGAAGTCATTATAAACTAAATACGTGTAATAAAAAAAAAAGAGTAACAAGTAATGCATTGTTCAGCAGGAAAGCGGGGTATTCTGGGTAATGGTGATGGGCTAATCCAGAAGAAGTTTGTTTATTATTCCAGATGGGAAACGGAGCCCTGCATCCACTACCTTTAGTGTGCCATTCATTATGTAACAAGACTGGACATGTTCATGGACTGCTGCCTTCTCTGTGATCAAAATAAGTTTGAAATCCCTGTCAACCCCTACTTTTTTGTTTCTTCCTTTCCTTCCTTTCAGGTTCACATGGGCACTCACATGTGGAACAGTACTCCTGCAAGACGAGGCAGACGACTTTCCGTAGATGGCCCCATGACATTTCTAGGAGGCAATCCTGTGAAGTTCCCAGAGATGTTCCAGAAGGATTTGGCTGCGCGGTCGGGGAATGGAGACCCTTCCAGCTTCTGGAACCAGTACGCAGCAGCACTCTCCAATGGCTTGGCCATGAAGACCAACGAGATCTCTGTCATCCAGAACGGTGGCATCCCTCCAGCGCCGGGGGGCCTGGGCAACGGCAGCAGCTCTCCCATCAGCGGCTTGACGGGAAGCCTCGAGAAGCTCCAGAATTCAGAACCCAACGCACCTCTAGCTGGTCTGGAGAAAATGGCAAGCAATGAAAATGGGACAAACTTCCGTTTTACACGTTTCGTGGAAGACAACAAAGAAATTGTAACAAATTAGAAAAAAACTTCATAAATAACATTCCTGCAAATAATGCAACCTAGGGTTGCTTTTTTCAAACTGCAGGCTACAACTCTGCAAAGACTTTCTTTTGTACCATGGTCTACTTCTAGAGTTCTAAGAGAGCTTATTTATTAGTGATATAACCTTGCTTTGCAAACAAATGCAAGCATTAACTTTGGTCTCCTGTATTTTGAACTAAATACTAATCGACTAGAGTGCTGTAAACTTGCTGTAACATTTATGGCAGTTGCAAGTCTGTTCTGCTAGGTGATCTTATTCTGGCATTAACTTATTTTCTATATCCAGTTTAACATGAACTCTGATGCGATGCCTCAGTGATGCATTAGATCTCTAATAAAAATCTGTATATAAATGTACACTTTGATCCTGCTGGAAATTTTATCAGCAAACACATTGTTTAATTTTTCCAAACAGAGTTAAGAAAAGGACTGAGAGAATATAGACTGAACAGTGTGGGTCCTTTACACAGCTCAGTTTTTGATTTTTATTATAAAATTAAAACTGCTTTAATTTTTGTAGGTTTAACATTTTCCGTTTTGAACTGTTATTTGTATTGTGCTTTTTACTTGAGTCGTCTTAAATGTTAATACATTTCTGTACAGTAATAAGCACGCGGATTATTAGAGAAGATACTGAAGTGTTGTTTTGGTAGTTGAAACTGAGACGTAACATTTTGCCTTGTAGGTATGTTCATTATAGAATATGTGCTGGACTTTCACAATGCTGCTAAGTATGGCATCTTGAACAACTTCCGTGGACAACTGTAGATGCTCCTGTATATACAATAAGACATCACTTTCATTAAAATGTACATATGTTCCTTACAAGACCAAGCCCTACTCCTTGACCAAGGGAACAAGTATAGTGTTTGTTTATTTTGTATTAGGTATTGGGGAGGGCAGGGGGAACCTTGGACTGTTACATGCACTTTCTCGGAAAGTTGAAAGGAGAAGAGGTCCAGTTTCTTTAACATTTAATACTTACTAACAGCAGAGATACTGTAATTTTACTCGAGTAATCAAATACATTTTTGCAACAGATAAAATTTGCTGTCTCTGTGTTTTTAAAGTGTACCTGTATTTAGTAATCACTTTGTATTATTTAGCCTTTCCCTTGGTTAACATGAACTGTCCAATGTGTGTGTTTATATTTGTAAGTATGGGTATACATATATGTATTGCATATTAATTGCTAGTATATTTTTCATACCCCCTAACAGTGGGAAATTTCTCCTTGACTATTCAACTCCTTCTCCTTATAAAATTGTAGATATTTTGGCATTTTTAATTTCTTTATAAAAAAAAAAAATGCTGCTAGCAAAGACCTTATTAAGCCTAGGTAAGTTTCCTTTGAAGGAAATAATTTATCACATTTAAGGCTTGATTTGGTTCAAATGCTTTATATTTGATATTAATTTTATTCTATGAGATTGTATGTTTGTGGCATGCTTACGCTGCTCTATCTGTGTTAAGATGTCCACTTGCAAGCCTCTCTATATTATATGGGGTTTATAACTCGATGGAAAAAAAAAAAAAATTGCTTTGGCCTTGCACATGATTTGGCTTCCCTTTTGCACCTGCAATTATTAACCTCAGTGGGCATTTGGCGAAACAGAATTCAGCCCAATATTTTCACCCAGTAGCGTTTTATCTCCTCATATTATTATTTATGGAAAATAAATCAGTTTGCCTTCAAATTTTGCCTTCAAAAAACCCAACAGGAGTAACTGGTTTTATGTTCATGTAAATCTATATATATTTTTAAATTCCAAAATTCAAGTATTTTGTGTTATGAGATTTTCTTTAATATCAGTGTGGGGGGAGTTGCTTGCCTTTTTAAACCAGAAGCAATCACTTTGCTCTTCCCCCCTGGTAGTCTTAAATTGTAAGCTGGGCACCACAGAGGATTTAACACTGAAAAGCTGGGGTGAGAAATACTTTTCTTGAGGACTTTTACCCTTCACATGACTATGAATCCTTAGGAAAGTATTATCACTGTAGTCTGAATACCTCTTGGACTTCATGTCTTTAGAAGTTTTTCCTGTTCGAATGTGATGATTCATCTGGTACATGATATGCATTTTTGTTAACATGTAAATTGTACACTAGAGCCAGCTGGCTTGTCAATGTGAATATTTAAGAATTTCAAGTTACCTTTTGGTCTCAGAAAAGGGTAAATTAAACGGATTTTGATGATTTTATCAATGAAATACTAACTAATTCTCCTTTTAAACCGAGTTTAGATTCGTGCAACAGAAAAGCAAGGCAGGGTTAGCAGACCCCAGTGCTCTGGGAGGCTTTCCTTTGCACGGCTTGAATTTCATTAATAGCCTGAACTCCAGCCCTCGGACCCTTTTCTCCCGTTAAAGCGAAGCCTTTGGGGGCCGCGGGCCCTTTCAGCCCGGCCAGAAGAGGGGCCGCGCCCCGGCCCGGTCCCCGTCAGGGTAGAGTCGGATGGATTTCAGCGCTTCTTCCTGGACTGGGCAGTGGTTTGAGATTTAGGGAGAGGTTGTAAGTCTTCCCTGCTGTAGTGGTCAACAAATCTCTCCAGCCCTGCTTTGGAAAGAATATTTGCTGCTGACCATCAAAGTGCAACAGTTGCTGCTTGATTTGACCTTTTCTTTGGGGCATAGTTCCTGCTTTTGGGAGTCCTGAAGTGACGAGCAGCAGGTTGCATCTTTGCAGGAGGCCAGTTTTACTTGGCAGGAGGAGGTGTGACTTTGTAACATGGCAGTTCTTTTTTTGCTGCCTCCCTGACAGTCTTCAGTACTTCTCCAGTTTTATCTCTGGGATTTTTAAATCGAAATAACATTCTATTTGGTTTCCTTCTCCCATGAATATGAGTTGACAAAAGTTAAAATAATGTCTTGCAAATAAGTGGGTACAGTTATTTATACAAGCCAGAAGCAATATGTCTCTTAACTGCTGAGTTGAAATATAATGTCTTAAAAATTTCACATACAATACAGTCTCTTGTATAAATACCTATCTCTAGACAAAAACTTAAGAAGGAGTAGAGGCTTGGAAATATTAATCTTAATAGGAAAGAACAGGAATTGGAAAGTATGCAACTTCAGCTGAGAACAGAGTTACTGACAGCTGCATTTATGTTCTGTTTCCTGATTTGATATTTCTGGTTCTTACATCTAGGTTATAGCTATTATCAGAATGGCTACCGTGACCCAGTCCCTCTGTCGCTACTGGCAGTAGCCTAGCAGATGCCTGGAAGGTGGCAAGTGCATGGTGATTCTTCCTTGAGAAGATCTCCTTGTTCCAGGTACGTGGGGTACTGGGAGGCCCTGAATCACATGTGGTGGCTGGGATATTTTACAGGTAAGTGAGGTGTAAGCTTGGCAGTGATTAAAATTAAGTTTCTGGCTCAAATTATATTATAATTTTGTCCTAACATGAGTCTCTTACTTGGGTTTCCATTTTATCTCCTGTTTCTCTTGAGACATATTTTTGAATCCAGAGGCAAAATCTCTTGATGATATAGGAGGAGAAGCAGTAGAGTGAGAATGGGAGACCAGAAAAGAGGTTTCCTTTAGTGCTCAAATCTGTCTAGCACTGAGAGAGCTGGTGAATAGCATGCACTGAAGGGTTGGAGACATTCTCCGCAATGCTGTGCGTGCTGGGTGGGGCCAGCATCCTGGGTGCAGCTGATACTGAGCATATGGTATATCTGTGAGAATGCCTACTGGAGAGTTGTAGAATAAGGAAGCACTATCATCTTCCTTTTTATAGCAGTTAACTAATTAACTCAAATTGCAGCCTTTTCTTAACTTTCAGAAGTTACTGTCACTTTTGAAAAGCAGTTTCAATTCAGGTTAGATGAGGACCAAAACCACGTCCATGCCCATGTTAGACTTTGTCGCTAGTGGTAATAAGGAAGGTCCTCACTGGAACGATCAGCCCTGAAACTCCTGGTGTCATTTCATTTCAAAATTAAGAAGTCTCTCCATGTTGGCAGACATTCGCATTATCTGTACAGACAGCTCTCTTGACCAGGGCAGTGCTGAAGTGCAAAGGTCTCTTTTCATTATTTAAAGGCCTTAAAAATGCAGCATCACAATGTCAGGTGGGTGTAGCAGAAGCCCTGCAGCACCTGGCATCAGGTGGTGCAACACAAGCAGTATTCAGAATTGAATATGGAAAGCAAAAAATGGAGTAGTCTGGCACACTGTCACAGATTTAACCCCACTGGTCACTACTTCCTTTCTTTTCCCCATCTTTTCCATGAAAAATAATTTCAAAGCGGAGCCAGTGAGACTAACCAAATGAATCATGTTAAGATTTTTTTTTTTCAAAGCAGTGTCTGTTTTGAAAATGAGCTTCCTTTGGCAGTGAATAATTCTAAATTGCTTTCCTTTCATTAGGATTTTAAAATGTCAGTTAATACAAACTGAAGCTAACATTTGTTTCATATGTACAATAACTAAGTGGATAATCGTGTTCAGTGCTAAATGTGCATTCATATGAACTCATATCTTTCTGTTGGCTAGAGGATCCAGAGAATAGCAAATTATATAGAGAGAGAACAGAGCAGATTTCAGAGGTTTATGTGTCTGTTTACTTGTCTAGACTGAGTACCAAGTCCTCTCAGCAACTTGTGTCAGAGCTGCTGCTGAGAACGAGGCTGTTTGTGATGGCTAGATCACTAGTTAGCTCAGTTATGGGGGATCTCTTAATACCAGCATAGACCTCTGGTGCTGATACATGTAAACTAATTTAACCCCCTGCTTAAGTCAGCTGAACTTGTTCTAACACTGATGAATGTCTGAGTGCTGCACAGACAATTTCTGTAACAGTGTCTGGCAGTTTAAGGTGTTACTGTCTTTCCCTTTCAGTCCACATGTTTATTTCTGTCCACTGAGACTTCCTCCCCCTTCCATATTTGAATGGGTGGAATAGATCACATAAGTACTCTTTATTCATATCACTACAAAGACAGAGTGATTTCTTATTTGTTGAATAAGACCATAAGATAGGGAAGTGTCCAAAATGTACCAGGCATGTTCTCAAAGCTCAAGGACATCATCTTACAAAAGGAGATTGAGCCTATGTATCTGTGAGTCAGGCAGAAAAGAATTCATAAAACTGCAGCTCGTTTGAGCCAGAATTTCCTGAGATGTTGCCTTCCAAACCAAGCCTCCTAAAGGGCCAACTGTCTACAAAATGGGCTTAGCTTAAAATGCCACCAAAGGCATTTTTAAGATACTATATCTGACTTTGCACTGAAGCAGAGGGAGAACACTCCATAATTTGTCCTGTTGTGACAGAACATAGGAGTAACAGCTTAAAACACCAAGGCTATTACTTCAGCAGTCTCATTACTGACATTAGATAGTCACCTAGAGTCACTTTTCTTGCTTGACCTATACAAAAAAGTAGACCGGGCTTTTGTGTTCTCTCCTGGATTTGAAGAAGTTATTAAACCAATTCTCTCTTTCCAAAGCTGTATGCATTCATGCTGGCATCCTCAATAAAGCTGGGACACAAACAAAAAAGCAAACGAACCAGTCACAATAGCATTCAATGCACTTAAACTTGGAGGAAATGAAAATCAATATTTGTCAAATGGAGGAAAAAGGTAAAATGGACTGAGGAAAAATGTCTGGCTTTCTTAAAAGCAATTAGTGAAAATGAAAAGTTGACAGCAATACTGAAATTTAATTCCTGCATCGGTGATGTTTGCACATGTTATTTTGTTGTTGCTTTCACCCGCTATCTACTGATGCACGTACTAGCTCGATGCACACATATTCCTTTTTTGTTAGTTCTGTTGAATGGAATTTATTACATCTTAATTGAGCGTGGTTTGGAACCTTGGAGGCTTATGTAAAGGTTTCACTTGTGGTTAAAGTGTGAGGGGCTAATTTAGGAAATGGAAATTTCATCCTTGGCTCTGGGCACGTGTTGCCTTGGGCAAGTTGCTCTTGATGTGCTTTGTAAAATGATGCCAACAATAGTTCCTTACCTTTAATTTCTGTTTATTTTGGATATTTAGATATGAAACTGTTCAGATTGGTCTTTTACAATGTGTGTATGTCATACACGTCTCCTATCTTGGAATATAAATGCTTATGAAATATCCAATACAAAACAGCTATTTTGAATTTCAGCATCTATCAGAACACCTGGAAGTGCTCTGCTCGTAGCTCAGTAACGCATTTGCCACTTACCAGGTGAAGTTTAAAAGTGAATGCCATGTTATACATGCTTACATTTTTACTGTATTTGCAAAAGGTCTCAAGATACTGTGTTTTTGCTGAACTACTGGATGTAGCCACAATCTTTCAAAATTTTCCGTGTAGATAGAATGTCTCTTTCTGAGGCACAGTATGAGGAAATAGTAATTATATTTGCTGCCTTGCAGACAAGTGCCTGTAGTGGATTTCCAATTTCAGTGATACTTATCACAGATAACTTTCAGCCTGGACTGCAGGTAATGAGTTCTCTTGTTATATTCCCTGTGTATGGAAAAAAAAAAATTGGTAAAACAAAGTATATGGAATTGTAAAGGTTATATTTAATTACAAGAAAAATGCTGGATGATGTACAGTATGACAGTTTAGGGTCAGACTTGTTGCCTTAGTGACTTTCTGATTGTTTGAGGGTAGTGTGTGAGGTAGGAGGGAAGATGTGAAAGGGCTAGTGCCAGTATTGTGTAGTGGAGAGCACACTGAAATAAAGTGTGCAAACTGGAGTCCTCTGCAGCTGCTGGTTTTGGTGCAAGTCTTTGTAATGTTCCTGATGCTCTTTGTTTTCTCCCAGAGGGTATGTATCTCCACGTATTGTAGAAAATTACAAGTAACAGGCACAGTAGTGCAGCCATGTGTTGAAATGCAGCTGCAGGTATGTCCATTGTCTGCTCTACTGCTGAGCACTAGCAATGATGATAAAGACAGGAAATATTTTTGGACCCTTGAGAGATTTTTCTCTGTTTGACCAATTTGCTCCTTATAGCCCTACATATGGCAGTGACAATCTTTGCTTTTGAAAGGGTAGCTCTGGGTTTTGAAACACTGGCCATAGAAGTCAGCAAGTTCTGTTTATGTTTAGATGTTCTTTCCCCAACTGTCCTTCAGAGAAACATAACGGAGTGAGTTTCATTTTATCAGGAGTCTGAAGTACCTGTCAACTGAAGTCTGAAGTCCTGACTTCATCTACTGCTCATCTTGAAGGGCTTTCTTTTTATCTGAAAATCAGATATTGACAACAGTAACAACAATAAGAACAGGAGAAATGAAGAATGTGGGCAGCAATTTCCACCCAACACACACATACCTTTCTTGTAACTTGGCCTAAATTTCAAGCTTACTCAATGCTTTATTTTGCTATTTTGATTCATATAATGATCAACTTAAACCATCCCAAAGAATCATGATTTTTAGAAAGTGCTACTCTGTCTGAAAATCAGGCTTTTAAAGCATGATGACACAAAGTCACTTAAAATCATGGCCCAAAACCCATTGCAGTGGACAGTTACAAGCTGACATCCTAGACACACACTGAGATCATCCTAATGCCTGCCCTGTCTGGCCAGCAGTTTTCCTCCAGAAAAATAATGATTTTTTTTTTTATTATTATTGTTATCAAAGGAAAGCAATTAGTTTGTTGTTTGATTAGTCTTTATGTGTACAAGCAGGGGCGGGGTCAGTGTGCTGATAGAGCCATGATGTAGTAAGGCTCCTGTAGCTGACACAGGATGGGACTGTGGGAAGATGTATGCAGTATTATTCAGCCCTTTGTAGAGGGCCAAATCCAGGCTGCTGCATTTCCAAATAAGTTTTGGGGGAGATTCAGCCATAAGTGGATGAATTTAACATACAATTCGTTACTGTAGAAGGCACTAAAGTAGCAGGGAGTCCTGTGGTGATGTGATATGTCTCTCTCTTGAGGATTAGTAGTTGTCGCTTGTGTTGCACCCCCTCCTCCTTTCTTTCTTTCATTCTCTCTCAGGGGTTAAGGCTCTGTGTAATGTTGGCAGTTACTGGAAAAGGTTCTAGCAGCAGTAGAGCTGGTGAAAGATGACTATTTATAGAAAACAATAAAGTAAAAATAAATTCAAGATTAAATATCAGTACCTACCAGCTGTGGTACCTTTTCTTCCTCTCTCAGTAAGTAGTAAAATCAAAGCATAATTTGGAAAGGATCTCTGCTGGAATTGGAGAAACTAGTCTATTCTTCATGCTAAAGGAAAGCTGAGATGTTCATTTACAGGATGGTATTTCCTCAGTCTCTGCAGAAACAGCCCCTGGTTGGGGTTAGAAGCTCACATGCTGTAGAAAGTGAGATTTTTCTGCTTGGGTGACATAAAATCTAAGCTTTTT